ATGGTTAGTCTGTTTCCATTTAAACCAACAGAGAATTGGAGCAGAAGGGGAGGGAGGCCCCCATGGCAAGCTCGGAGAGTCAGGCCCAAGAGGCTACTCCTAAGCCACGTATTGGTGCTTTAGGTCTTCTGTGACTTTGGCAGCGCTGAGGGCAAGTGTCTGAAACTGTAGATACGCTGTCAGGGTGGGTCCTCAGCCAGGTTGGGCCTACTGGGCATAAGTGGATAGTGGGTGTAATGCACTCACTGAAAGCCTGGGGTTTGGAGCCAAGATGCTTTGGGCCAAGTCTTCGCTCTCCACTGATTGTCGGAGGTGGGGTCTTAGCCAAGGGCCTTTACCTCTCGGTGCCTCAGTTTTATCCTCTGTTAAAAAAAGGAGAGAATAAAATGACCTGCCTCATTGGGTTATTTTGAAAATTGAATGAGTCTGTATACATGATATATAGTCAATCTGTAGGTATCACATACATTTGACCCGCCTGCTAGTGGAAGGCTGAAGAGGAAGGTGGGGAGTGACCTCTCTCTACTTGGAAAGGCCTGTCCCTGGTTCAAATTTTTTCCACCTCTGAAGGCCCTATTCGGTGTTAGCTTAACTTGTTCTTTCTCACAGGAGCCTTTCCTGCCTGTCTGAGCTAGAATAGCCCTGTTCCCTCCGTGACTTGTTTCCTGTCTTACATTCTTTTCACTGTCACTTGTTTCCACACGTTACTTCATGCTGGCTCATTTAAGGAGTATGTCCCCCCAGCCCCAGCCCGATGGCTTCCTCCTGGTGAGATGTGGCCCAGGGGCTGAGGACTCAGGCTGGGGACTCTCACGAGTGAGGGGTCCCATCTTGGCTCACCACCTACTGACTCCGTGATCCAGAGAAAGTCACCTACCTTCTCTGAGCCTCAGCTTTCTCCCATGTCCAAGGGTGAGGGTCATGCCCAGCTGCCAGCCTGGGTATGAAGGTGAAGTCTCAAAACTCATAAGTGCTCAGCACAGTTCCTGGGACAGCATGTACCAGTAAAGGTGATTATCATCATTACTGTTCCTAATGAGACAGCCATCAGCTCGTCATGGCGGTGCTGGTAATAATTGCATTGGAAGCTCCCTGTCCCCACCTGCTGTAGGAGAGTGTCTCATGCTGGCTGGGATCACAGGGAGTAAATGTTAATTAATGATTTGGCTGAACTCTGAGAAACAGTTCAAGATCTCAGATTGCTTATCTTTGAAAGAAAGGACCTGGTAGGTGTGTGTGAGCCCACGAGTTTTTAATATCATTCATGTGTTTGTCAGTAATTACAAGGGGAGGGAATTGATGATGGTCTCCATTTGGAGGGACTGGGTTTCAGGTGGTGCAGGAGGCCTTGTGCCGGTGAGGTGGGAGAGGGCACAGGATGGGGCCACCAGAAGCTGGAGGCCCGGGTCTGTGTTTTCAGGAGGTGTGAGGTGTTAGGGGACAGCCGAGGAGGCTGGGGGAGCCTTAGCAAGACCACGTCCTAAATAACGTGGGCTTTTGTTATCACCAGTACAAATTAGAATTCTGGTTCTGTTTGAGAGTCTCCTGAGAAGAAGAGGAAAAGAGGGTCAGAAAACCTATATAGGGATGTAAAGAAGGAAATTAGGTCCCAGGAGACTGCAGGTTCCAAGTATGATGGGAAATTCTGAGCCAACTTTCTTCTGAGCTCCTTGTGAGCATTTTGGTCTTTCAATAAAAGCAGTTCATTTTGTGAACCTGGAAGAAATAGTCTTTGTGAACCTATTTTACAGACGGGGAGACTGAGGCCCAGAGAAATTGGGCAACTTGCCCAGGGTCATGTGGATAGAAAGTGGTAGAGCCAATAGTTTCCCCCTACACATCAGGCTATTAGGGATGGTCCTGTTAATATTATTTGTTGTGGGGGGCACCTGGGTGGCTCAGTAGGTTAGGCACCCAACTCTTGGTTTCAGCTCAAGTCACGATCTCAGGGTGGTAAGATCGAGCCCTGCACTGGGCTCCATGCCCAGTATGGAGTCTGCTTGAGATTCTCTCCTTCTCCCTCTGCCTTTCCCCCTGCTCATGTGCACACACACACACACTCTCTCTAGATAAATAAAGGAAATATTTTTTAAAAATACTATTTGTTGTTGGTATTGGGTTAATTTAAGTAGAAATGGCTGTCAGACTACCCAGTAGCTTTATGCATGGGACCAGAAGTGGTGGCAATGGCCCTTCTGTTTCCCATTTGTGACTCATTCTTCCAGTAACTAGGAGGGAAGAAACCAAGTCCCTCACCCGCAGTGTGGCCCTCAGTAGCTGTGTGGACACTGTGCCCTTGCTGACTCCCCAGGCTTCTTGAGTAAGGCTGCTCAGCATAGCGATCTCCCATAATTAGATGGACTTATGTAAGTAGGTTGACTCTCCTTCCCAGGGAGGAGTTGATTATCCTTAGGGGGTCATATTCTGCAGGGTGGAGAAACATTCTATCTCTGGATACCACCGAAGTTTATATTCACAGGAGGATAGGCAGGATTAAGTGACCTTTATTATGGAATGAAAAACTACTTATTTGTATATTCTCCACAACCACCCTGTGAAGTAGGTGCTGTCATTTCCTCCTTGCTTGATGAATCATATGAGGCCTAAAGAGGTTTAACTTGCTCAAGAACACATAATAAAAGGCTTACCAGGAGATTTAAACCAGATAGGCTTGTTCTATAGCCTTATACTAGGTCTGTTTTGATAAGTGAGTGCTATCCATCTGTCCACACATCCATTTCTGAACTCACATCTTTACGCTCCCTTGCACCCATGAATCCAGTCATCTGTCCATTTATCCATCCTTGCATTCCCCCCACAATTCCACTCTCCACCCATGTGTCCATCCATCCCTCAGCCATCCATTTTTCCATCCATCCATCCATGCATCCATCCATCCATCCATCCATCCATCCATCCATCCTTCCATCCATCCATCCATCTACCTGCCCACCTACCCATTGTGTTGACTGTTTGTCTAACATGGTTTTCTGCTTTATCCTGGGGAAGAAGTTTCTCCATATGCTTTCTGAAGCCGGAGACCTCCATGCCAACACAAATCCCTTAGCTCCTTAGAAATATCTGGGCTTCCTTCTGATACTCCTAGGTTGGTGTTCTTGAGAATGCTGCTATTTCGGGCAGGGCCAGGGTACTGTTCACCTTCCTCGCTCTATAAACCTGCAGAGTGTTTTTCCCTTCAAAGACCTCCAAATATGCAAGGCTGCAGGCTCTTCTAGGAAGAAGAGACTCCGGACTTTCTGAAACATCATTACAAGTGACAACTCAGCTAGCCCCGTTCCTTGATCCAGAGATTGGGAAGCTGCATTAGTCTGGCATGGTTTTACTTTTTTAAACTGTTATAGAGTTTGTGTGATACATCTAAAAATTATGTAATAAATCTAAAACAGATGTTCACAGAGCATTTTGTAAGGAAAGGAATTTTAATAGAAATAGGCCAATTTGATTGTAGATAAATCAATTAAGGAAACCATTTAAATTGTCTCTGAAGAAGCAGTGTTATGAAGAGGCCGTATGGCCTAGCCATTTGCATATTTATTAAGTGCAAAGCAGTGAAAATCATTTAATTATGTTCCATAGCCTCTGTTGTACATCAACCATTGGGAAACAATCTCACTTTTCTACTTTTTTTTTTTTTACTTTTTATTGTGGAAAATTTTAATCATAAAAATTCAGACATGTACACATAACAGTCCTGTAATGGACCCCCATGCACTTGGTACTCGTCTTGAAAAATGATCAGTTAAACCTGTGTTCATTTCTACTTTCTCACCTTGTTTTTCTACTCATGAGTTTCAAGGGCATATTCCTCGTTCATTAATTTCTTTGGGTCAGAATTCCATTGTGTTGATATTGAAATGTAATGAACTTTTGAATGTAGGTGTTTTACTTTTTCATCAAAATTTAGCTTTTTGGGGGTAGAGCATTGGGAATTTTCTTTTTTTTTTTTTAAATTTAAAGAATTTCACATCTAGTGCAAAGTTGAAATCTTCCCATTGACTGGCCAGTTATTAGCATTAGGACTGGCATTTTTCTACATGTGCTCTCCCATGAGAATCCTTGGAAACTGGGCAGATTTTTGTACCTTTGAAGGTATGTAGACAGTGACACATGGCTTTAGACCCCAACAAATAGAGATTTAGGTCTCAACTCTTAGCCCTGCATTGTAGGCTGAGGGAGCTTACTGTGGTTGGGGGCAGGGAGGGATAATGGGCTTTGTCGATTCAAATCAGTTTTGGGCAGTAAGGAAGATTTTTGTAGTTGCGAAAGTTGGCGTGGCCTTGTGATTAAGAAAATAAGTTGGTGGTAAGAGTGGTTCAAATCCCAGCTCTGCCCTTATCAGCTTGGAACTTGGTTGGGTGACCTAATCTCCCCGAAGCTTCATTTCCTCCGTGTAGACTGGGGATAGAAGGAACACCTGTTTCCCTGGATTGTCATCAGGGGAAAATGAAATGGGACCATCCGTGCCCGGCGTTTAGTACCTGGCCAATGAGTGTGACTAAGCTTTCGTATTATTACAAATAAGGGTACATTTAGCATAGTGCCTACCATGTAAGTGCTCCATAAATGTTACTTACCGTAAGTAAGGGTGAAAAAGTCACACCAAATTGGTCTTTAAATGTCTGATTTTCCTTTGGAGCAATGAAATGAATAAAGAACTTTAGTGAAAGCTCGCACTGTGATTTCAAGCAAGAGTAAACCTCGGATGGACAGGCAGATGCCACCAGCCGGGCATGGCATCACACAGTTGTCATGGGAAACAGCCGATTGCCTCTGGTTCCATTCAGTGGTGTCCTAAAATAAGCCAGCCTTCTTGAGCACCCCTGGGAAGTGTCAGCTTCCAGTGTTGCACGGCTCGCCCCCAGGGTTGGGCAGGTGCTTCTGTTGTGAGTGTGGGCTTTGTCCTCTTGTTCCCCAGGACTAATTTCTCTCCTCTCTGCTTTCTTTCCTCTCTTTGCTCACTTTCTTATCTTGTGTCCCAGGTCGAAAGGATTGTAGACAAGAGGAAGAACAAGAAAGGGAAATGGGAGTATCTTATCCGATGGAAAGGCTACGGAAGCACGGAAGACACGTGGGAGCCAGAGCACCACCTGTTGCACTGTGAGGAGTTTATCGACGAATTCAACGGGCTGCACGTTTCCAAGGACAAACGGATCAAGTCAGGGAAGCAGGCCAGCGCCTCCAAGCTCCTGCGTGACGGCCGGGGCCCGTCGGTGGAGAAACTCTCCCACAGACCTTCAGAATCTGGGAAGAGCAAAGGGACTTCCCACAAACGGAAGCGTATCAACCCTTCCCTGTCCAAGCCAAAAAAAGGCTATTCAGCCAAGCCCCCTGCGGGAGGTGACAGGGCCACCAAGACAGTGTCTTACAGGACTACCCCCAGCGGTTTGCAGATAATGCCGCTGAAAAAGGCTCAGAATGGCCTGGAAAATGGGGATGCCGGCTCTGAGAAGGACGAGAGGCACTTTGGAAATGGGTCCCACCAGCCTGGCTTGGATTTGAATGACGTGGGAGAGCAGGAGCTGGCGGAATGTGGCGTCAACCACGCGGCACTGGCAGAGAACGGGCTCGGTACGTGGCTTGCCTTTCCTTCCTCTGAGGCTTTTCATGCAGCCCAGGGAGCTCTGTAAGACACCCCCCCCATCTACCTCCACCCTAACACCCCTGACCCTTAGCTAGGTAGTAATTCCCCTTCCATCTCTCTCACCGAGGACCATGTGGCCTTGGTCATAGGCCCACGATAGTTACAGACACCTGTGCCCAGGGCGGGGGCAGGGAGGCCAAGCCACTGAGGCTCCAGCCAAGGCCTGTAATGGTCTGAAAATTCCTGACTGCTGGAACACACCAGGGCCATGGGAACCTCTCCTGAGCCCCCGTTGTGAGGGCCGCTCTAAGTCTCAGGTCACCCTCCGGGACCCGAGACTCCTGTCCCCAGAGGACATGCTTTCTTCCCAGGGCAGAGCGTGCTTTCTCATTGAGCCCTCGCAGTATAGCCCAGAAAGGCGGAGTCTGTCCCTCTTCTCAGACCCAGTTTGGACTTGAAATTCTCCAAACCCGTTCTTACGCTGGAGCCTCTTGAGCATCCTCTGTTGCTGGCTGGGGGGGATCTGGCCTCATGTCTGCAGAGGTCCTGGATGGTGCCCTGACCCCACCCTCTGCCTGTTCTTTGGGTTTGCACCTTCTTCTTCCACCATGAAGCAATCCAGCAAAGGTTACATAATTCCTCCCTTTTACCAAGTGCCCACAGGTAAGGTTAAGGAAAGGGGAGGCAATGACCCAGGTAACTAAAACTCCCAAACCCGACATTTCCTTAGTAGTGAAATTACTCCTTGCCGGGGCCTTAGCAGCCCGGATCTTCCGGGTTAGCCGTCTGTATGGGTTGCGGGCGCACCGTCGTTTCTCAGATGCCCCGTGGTCTGGCTGGTGGCGTTTTTCTCTTTAGCTGCCAGAACCCTAAGCCTCGGGATGAGCGTGGACGACCCGTGCCCAACAGAGAAGGGACATCTGACACCCTGGTGGAACCAGAGTGTGTGTGGGCGTGGGGGTGTGGGGCACAGGTGGGACAGGCTGGCAGAGCTCCCAGGAGGGGGCGTGACGGAGGCAAACGCACAGGAACACGGTGGCGATGGCAGAGTGCGCGGTGCTCAGGGCCTGCCCCCGCCGCAACGAGCGGGGGTGTCTTCAGGGAGTCTTGCTGGGGAATCTGAGCGATCTGCTTTGAGGTTCCTCTTTCTCCAGAGAGAGGAATTTCACCCAAACAGGATTTATTTAGCAGTGTCTGCCCCAGATTGACTCACGTTCCCGTCTGGGGATCCCTGATGCTCACATGACTCTGCCTGCTAACATATGTAAAAGCTGTTTGTTTTAAAAATTCATCTCTTGGGGAGGAGTGGGCTTGTGTAAATGAGGCCTGGCATAAACATCCGTGTTTGACGTTCCCCTGACAGCTGCCCAGGGCGGAGGAATTCCCTGTCTTGGGGAGGACGGCTGCTGGGGGGTAGTTTCTGAGGCTCCTTGGGTGTGGACGCAAGGAGTGTGGGCGTGATGCCCTGCACCCTGGCTGGTGGCCGTCCTCTGCCCTGCTTAGAGCGTGGCTGCCCCGAGAGTGCCAGGAAAAGCACGAGGGGGAACGGTTTGCTGACTGTAGCCACCAGCCTGGGGGTGCAACAGAGAAGCACATCGGTAGAGAAGTGTAGGTGCGCGTCTCATTCCATGTGACTTTCCAAAGTGGGGCAAGCTCCTAGCCATGTGCTCTCCGTCTGTGGGCCTCATCGATGCCCTCTGGTTCATGACCTCCCACTGGGGCACGGTGCCCCACAGCCAAGCAGGGGAAGGTGAGGATGAGCCTGCTGGCCTTGTTAAATCCCAGTCTTCACTCTGGAATGCTTCTCTAGACCTTTCTCGTCTCTGGTCTCTTATTGGCCTCATTTTTCCCCCAACGTTGAATGTTCTCTACTTGGGCGTGTACCCGGATAGCGAGCAGCAAGCTACCTACCTCTGTTTTGTTCTGTTTGGGGGGTGTTCTCAGAGGGCTCTTTGGCTTAATTACATTGCATAGTATTGGTGTCCTTGACGTTCCCCTGTAAGGTTAAGGCTGAGGTTCTCAGATTTTATGTGTGTACGATTATGTGGCGCCTTGTTAACAATGACGGTCCCATAGAATCTGACTTACAAAGTCTGGGGCAGAGCCCAGAAGGTGGGTTTTTAATAAGCACCCCAGGTGACTCTAATGCGTTTGAAACGTGCTCTGTGGCAAACCGGGGGTGACAGTTAAGGCTCACATCAGATGTCAGTTTAAGTCAGTTCATCGCTTTTAAAAAAAAATTTTTTTTTTTTTTTAACTTTTAGCACTTCCTAAGGGCTAGTTACCACACTAGGTGCTTGGAGCAATAAACAGATAGGTAGGGACTTCTCCCAGTAAGATGAAAGTGGCTGGCTCCAGGTCAGTGTTGAGAGGTTCCTGAGGCCAGCTCAGCGGAAGAAGTAACATGCATATTACATGCATGGCACAGCTTTGCTAGGCCCACATTCACATCCTCTGTGATCACTGGGCTGATAAATTCTCCAGGCACTGTCAGCCTTTAACATTCTAGTTAGAACTAGCTTACTATCTTAGGTGTTAGGATAATGGGGGAAAGGAAAAGATTGGGAATCTGTACCGAAGACAGAAAGTGGTTTGGGGTTCTTAGATCGGACTCAAGACAGAGGGGTTCTGTGGTTCCAGAACTTGTCAGCAAGGGGTCAGAGGTGTAGTCAAGTAAAACCTGGCTCTGCTTATGATTTCAACCAGAGAAAAGCCTCGTTGAAGCCGATGTCTGTGCCATGCAGAGATCTGCATGTTGTCTTCCTCCCCATCTTTCCCTACCTCCTCCGAGGATCCGGTTCCTCGTGGCTCGAGGTGAGCCAGTGGGGTCTATAGCACAGAGGCGGGATTATCTTTGGCTGCCAGAAGGGGCTGGGGAGATCCTGGCTTCACTTTCCCAGCATTTGTTTTGGGGGTGGGCCGTTGCTTTTTATATGATTTTAACTTCTCGTTGGTGAATTAAGGTTCTGCATACAGAAAAGCAACTTATGTAACACGTTACTCATTTACTGCTGACTTCCCTGATCTGTGCTGTGGGAACAAATGCTAAATCGGGGCTCTGGCGGGTGGTGTTTTGGTTTCAGCCTGCATTTTCCCCAGCAATGTTTGTGAAATGTGCGCAAAGACTGAGTACTGCTCTTGATTCGGACTCCTCTGGTAATGACAAATGGCTCTGTGGTCCGGAACCATCTGCCTCAGTATCCCTTGGGGAGCTTGTTAGAAATGGGCTCCACCCCAGTCGAATGAATCCAGATCTCAGGGGCAGGGTGTGGGTTATGCATTTCCAATGCGGAATTTTAACTATATGGTCATCTCAGAGGAAGTATTTGGTTTCTCCGCAGTGGTTCAGGGATCCGTTTGCCGGTAGAGCTGGTCACACGTTAGATGTTAAGCTTGTGTAAGTGTGAATAGGATTTGGTCCCCCAAAGGTTTATAATCTGACATCACTTCTTCTTGCTGACGCACTCTTCCACCAGGCATCTCTCTCTCTCTTTCTTTCTTTCTCTCTCCCTCTTTGTTTCTCTAAAATAGACCAGTTTCATCTGTATGGAAAAGCTGTTGAGTTAGCTGCCTTCTCTCATGGCCTGGTCCAGGAGAACCGGTTGGCACGCTCTTCTCTGAGCGGGCTGAAGCACCAGTACTTTCCAGATTCAGCGAGCCCCTAACCTGTGGAAGCATCCCTCACTCCGAGCCAGCGTTCCGCCCCGAGCAGGAGCACTGCCAGCGGGCACCTAGCGTTCTCTGAATGTCCCTGAAGCTGGTGAGCTTCGAACACTGGTGCTGAGCCCGTGGCCTCGCGTGCGCTGTCTTGGAATTCTGAGAAGCCGTTCCCTTGCGTCCCGACGACTGTTGCCTGTCGTGCGGGCCCTGGAGCTCAGATGCTGCTTGGTTCAGTGTTTTCAGAATGGTTCCTATCATTGAATGAGTCACCCCACACAAACAGGCAGCATTTGCCATTTCTGTCCATTGATCTTTTAAAATGATCTCAGCTTTCACTTCTATAATGTTTGTTTATCTCTTCCCATGCCTCTTCCTGCACAATTTATTGTTTTGCCCTTCATTGATCATTGGGGAGTAAGCGTGTTTTAAAAACACCTCAGGACTCAGCAGGAGCGTGGGTAGGGCCCTGTGGCTTCTAAGAACTTAGGGCTCTCACACATGGAGCCGGCATCAGAGTCCCCGAAGGGTGTGTCAAAAACACAAGGCTGTTCTGGCAACCCTCCAGGGGTCTGATTCAGTAGAGGTGGAGTAGAGCCCGGGAGTCTGCCTTTCTAGTAGTTTCCCAGATGCTGCCGCTGGTCTGGGGACCCCACTTGCAGATCCACTGCTCCAGGCTAATGAGCACCAAGAGGGTTGAGATGAAAATGGCAGTTGTTGGTCCTTGACTGAGTGGAAGCCCTTCTGCTCTGGACCTTGAGTTGGCATTCGCGAGCATCCTAACGGGGAAAGTTTGTGAAATGAGTTAAGTTCAAAGTTTTATAGGATAAGAACTCTTCTTTGATGAGGCCTTGGGGTTTACAGAGCACTTTTTGTGATTCTCATACAGTCCTGAGAGCTAGCTGTGGCTGTTCTACCCATTTTACAGAGGAGGAGACCGAGGGTATGTGTGCCCAGATTGGAACAAGGAGAGAAATCCAGGCAATTCGACTCCAGAGCTGGCCTCTACACCACTGCCCCTCGGGCTTGCGGGTGGTACAGGGCAGTCCCTAAAGCCCCGATCCCTGACAAACACATGCCCTGATTGCAGAGGGTGGGAGATCTGGGGCCGGGAGTGCTGATGGAGCATTTGAACTTGCCCTTCTTCCTTAATTTTGGAAGGATAGACTCTTTCTAAGCCTGAGATAGTGGGACTGACTCTGTGCCATTCAGTTTGAAACCCTGGATAAGATGGTCAATTCCCTAAAAAACAAAACAAAACGAAACAGAAAAACAACTTAAGGAAATGAACTCAAGGACGATGAACTCAAGGACGACCAGAAAACCTGAA